ACAGCTCGTTTCAGCAAAGGCATTAACACCAATTTCTTTTTTTTTCCTCTCTTTTCTGAATTTCACAGAGGGAATTGTGATTGGAAATCCTAATCTATTTGCAGAGGAGGATGCAATGAATCGAATGCACTGACGACTTTGTTTTTCTTTCCCCTGTTGAAGTTACAATCAAACACAGTTTTCTGTAGAACAGTAAAGCACCCAGCAGAGGTAAGTGAGGTATCGGCTTTGCAGCATTATCGGCCTGCTCCTGCGTGGCAAGCACATGCATGTGGGCCCTGCCCCGCTGGAAAGGGGCAAGCAGGACACACGGGGCAGGCGCCTTGCTGGGCCAAAGTTAGTGCCAAGATCAGCAGTACTCTCCTGCCCCAGATCAAGAGATATATTAACACGAGTCAGTCCCACGGAATAAGTCACATACACGATACATACAGAGAATTCACGTGCGTGTGCAAACACACTATTTCTGAATATATGTATACATGAACTCTTTTCTCTGTACGCCTACTAGACACCATAACGTCACCTTTTTAATTTATATATTTTCACCTATTGTTTGCCTAAGTCAACTTTTCTACTGTATGGTCTTTTTCCATTCATCCTTCCCCTCTCCTGTGATTTGAAGGGGATAAAATCATTCAGCAGCAGCAATCCAGCTTTGAAATGGTCTGGTACATTTCCTCTTACTGCCTGTTTCTTCTGAGTGGTAAAATAACACCCCTGTGGAATTTGTCCACGAAGAACGCCAAAAGAATTAAGGTGATTTGAAAGGAGAATCTGAGATACATTTACTGCTGTTTCTGTTGGGCACACAGTGTGAATTAAAAAAGTGAAAGCCTTTGTGTCTGCCCATCTCAGCATGTCTGTGTATGAACCGTGGATGTTTTGATGACACAGCTGCTGGTATCAGCTTCCCCAGTAACCCATGCATCTTTCTTACAGTGGAGAAGTCTTTTTTTTCCCCCTAAAGCCCTAGTGTCTGATTTCATGAAACACTAGATAAATGTTCCTATTCCCACCACACCGAGGAGCAGCTGTGGCACTGTCCGTGCTCATCTCCTCTACAGATGTTGCTCGTCTCCCCAAACACCTGGCCTCCTGCAGGATGTGTTTGCAGGGGCTGTGCAAACTGAGCTTCACAGCACATCACACCTTTGGCGTTCTGTGGTTAGTGAGGGAAAACATCCATCCCAACCCAAACTATTTGCTAGGCAAAATGTAAAATCAGGACACGTCGGGTATTTCCAAAGAGCCCCTGGAAAAGCAAATGCAACGTGCTGGAAAGGTTTCTTACTTATATATGTGCAAGCTGACAGGGACAATCAGTGTGTGCCGAACTGGAAATGAAAGCATTGGTTTGGGGCCCAGCATTTGAATTCTTGCTTTTCCGTTAAATTGTTTTATAACACTCCTCTCCCATGGCGCAGTGGTAAATGGAGAGGTATCAGCTGCCAGACAATGTAGCCAGACCACTTGAAAGTAGAAGGACCAGACTTCTCCCGGGCTTTACCCGATAGAGAGCGGTGAAAAAGAGTGTTTTGCTGGGGAAGGATGAAGGCCTCACTTGATGTTTGATACAGCACTGATCATCAGATGGAGGAAAAATACTTCTTCTAAGGCACTTGTTCAAAGTAAAACAAAACACAGCTCATCATAAATAAAACTTCAGGGTTTTGCTACTGATCGGGAACCGCGCAGCTTTGCTCCGAAGGGATACGGCAGGAGCCGTTTTGTCC